TATCTGAATAATGTAGTTTTTATAAAGAAAAAAAATTTATACAAGTCTATAACTAAGTACATTCAAAGATTTTAGAATTTTATAATATATATTAAAAATAAAAAGCAGCTAATTTAGTATTATTTAGTTTTTTAAAGAAATTAAATTATTTTCAAATTCAAGATTAAAATTAATTTAATTTTAAATTAATGATATCTATATTTTTTTAATCTTTTTAACTGCAAGATCTCTTGTTTACAATTTCTTAAAATTTTAAATATATATATATAAGACTTTGCAGTAGTTGAATAAAAAGAAAATTTTTATAAAAAAACAGTAAATTTTTCTATGCAAAGTTAGTAATATGATTGATAAGTTAAATACTCTATAAGTTATTAGTTAGTTCGTGATTTTTAAACTCTTTAATCAACTAGAAACTCTATAACAAAAATCAAAAAAAAGATAAAAGTTGATTTAAATATTTAATTTATTAATATAGAAAGATTTAAAAAGATTTAAAATAAAGTTACTATTTTTAAAGACTAGAAAATAACTATAGAAATTAAAAATAAAGATTAAAAAAGCAGTAGTAGCAGCTTCATAGTAGATCTGAAAGTCTGTATATTTGAATGATAATTAGATTGAATTTATAGTTAAATATTTACATAAATAGAAAGAAGAGTGGCTTTGAATAGAGTGATTGAAAAAATATCTGATTAAAATATAAACTGACTAGCTTAATTAAAATTATACTAATTCAGTAAGAACTTATAAATGATAGAATAGTAAGCTGTGACTTCCATGCTTACATGATTAATTAACAACTAGTTAATTAATAGTTAGTTAGCTGTATGTTAATGTAATAAGCTATAGTAGATTATAGTAGCATAAGAAATTTAATAGAGATTAGAGTATAGCTCTTCACATTTTCTCTTTTATATCAATTAGATAAATTTTCAATTTTTATCATAAATTATAGTAATTTTTTTAAATTATAAAGTCTTCTTTATGGTAATTTACTTTGTAATTTATCTAAGATTAATTGAAATTTTTTATCATAATTATATATATTTAATGATTTAATATTATATTTTTTAATAATTATTTTCAATTAAAAGAACAGAGTAATCAATATTTAATCACTCTTGCAATCAAATTAAAGTCTTATTTACATAAGTATAGAAGTACTCAAGTGTGAAGAATGATATGAAAGTTGTCACTTCTGATCAATTGTTTATAGACAAAATGTTTTTCATTTTGTCTTTATGACATATGTAAAAGCAGCAGACTCAGTTGATTTCAATCTTCTTTTTTGTCAACTTAAGCACAAGATTCTTTATATTTTGAGATGTAGGAGCAAGCCCATGACTTGAGATATATTTTATATGCAGAGGAAGGTAATCTTCTTGTGAATTGATGAGTTTTTGCAGTGTTTGAAGATGACTTCTGAATTTGAAACTGCTTCATCTCTATAGCAGCACATCAGTGTCATTTGATTGATTTTGAATTTTTTGAAAGCAGCATTGTAATTTGGAATCTCTTGTGATCTTAAATCTTCAATTACTAATTTAATAGCTTCATTGCTGACCATGCTGTTGAGGTTGGAAGTTGAAGAAATAATATATGTTGGGGGTGCTTATCGAGTGGTAGTGCTCATCGAGTGGGTGGTGGTCTACCGTACTTCCCGCTATTAATGAAAAGTATTTAACTACGACCACAACTCTGCCCTCTAACTTGGTTATCAAGGCTTTTCGATCACAAACATATATACCTACGATATAGCTGAGTAGAATTGATCAGTCAATTGAAGACATTGTTGGTTAACTTACGGGATAACTTTGTTAACAGGTAGGTATTTATGCCGCGGTTCACGCTCCGGATTGTTGAATTTGTTCTCCATAACTCGGCCCGTCCCTCCAATAGCCTGTTGTCAGTCGTTTAGTTAAACAATTAGGTTAAATGATGTATGGTTTCAGTGATTAAAAGCTCCGAAACCGCGGTTATTCTCCCCCAAAACTTACAACTCCCAACAGACCTTATAAGAGAGACTGCCCTTCCCCGCAAACAACCACAATCGTAATCAGTCATTTATTATAATATTCTTCTTCTACACCTTTGGGTCTCGTTGGTTATTTAGTTGGCATCTGCTATCGAACGCATAGCAGCTATAGCTATATTTTATTAACTGTTAACCCTGGTTCTCCTCTAACCCCAACATCAGTCCACCCATATTGTCTCCAATCACTACCAGAATATAGATTGCCATGGGCCTCCCGTCTATCAGAATAGCTTCCTCAGCTTCTTCCAGGGCTTTCAATCTTCTCCGGACTGTCCAGTTTACCCATCCTCCAAATTGCCCCTGCCATTCTAACCCCACCCATCACCATCACCATCGATATAATTCTCTGATATCCCAACACATCCGCAACCTCGCAACACCCATAGATCCCGCACACCAGAAGGAATATGCTTTTGAAATGGCTGCATCGAGCATCAGGTTTGGCCCAGGGTCCACCAAGGAGGTTGGTATGGATTTCAAGAACCTGGGTGCCAAACGGGTCTGTGTCGTGACAGATCAAAACATTGCCAAACTTGATACTATGGAGCATGTAATCGAGGCCCTCACAAAAGAAGGGGTGGCATTCACAGTCTACGATAAAGTGCGCGTGGAGCCAAAGGATTATTCGTGAGTTTTTTACGTCTCATTCCATCATCACGTTTCTTCCTAGCTGGCTGGGCCGTGGGAGGCGGCCTAAGTGGGAACTTGATGTGCTGACGAACCGTTTGCAATAGAGTCAAGGATGCCATTGCCTTTGCAAAACCTTATAATGCCGATGCTTTTCTGGCCGTGGGTGTGTCTCGTATTATGGATGTGTGCTTAGTAATGTTCCCGTCTTCTAACTGGCCAAAAACTGACCTATTTCGGCGCAGGTGGTGGATCCGTTATTGACACGGCAAAGCTCATGAATCTGTACTGCGTCAACCCCGAAGCCGATTTTCTGGACTTCGTAAATGCACCTCTTGGCAAAGGCCTGCCAATTGCCACGCAGCTGAAGCCCCTGATTGCCGTACCCACCACTGCTGGCACTGGCTCTGAAACTACAGGGACGGCGATTTTCGATCTTGTTTCGAAGAAAGCAAAGACGGGCGTTGCACACAGAAATATGAAGCCTACACTAGGTATCTGTGACCCTCTCAACACGCGAACTATGCCGTCCCAGGTACATTCCTCCTCCGGTCTGGATGTCCTCTGCCATTCGCTTGAGTCGTGGACCGCGATCCCTTACAACGAAAGAACCCCACGCCCTTCCAACCCAATTAACCGACCAGCTTACCAGGGTGCAAACCCAATCTCAGATATCTTTTCCTTGCAGGCACTGCGCAGTACCGTAAAATATCTTCCCCGTGCGGTGAAAGACCCAGACGACAGCGAAGCACAAAGCCAAATGCTACTCGCTGCAACGTTAGCTGGCATCGGCTTCGGAAATGCGGGGGTTCATCTGTGCCACGGAATGAGCTACCCAATCTCTGGGCAAAATCCGGGCTATAAGCACCCAGGATATGCTGTGGGTCACGATATAATCCCCCATGGCGTTTCTGTTGCGGTAACAGCGCCAGCCGTTTTCAAATTCACTGCGGCAAGCAACCCGGACCGTCACTTAGCCGCAGCGGAAGCATTCGGGAAGGATATCTCCAATGTAAAAAGAGAGAGTGCTGGAGAGTTGCTGAGTGAAACAATCGCAGAGTTTCTGATTGGGTTGGGTGACCAGCCACGAGGGTTGAAGGCTCTTGGGTTTAATTCCAGCAATGTGGACGATCTGATCGAAGGAACCATTCCGCAACAGCGGGTTTTGAACCTAGCCCCTACCCTGAGTAAAGAGCTGGGAGCTGAAAGAGAAGAATTAAGGAAGCTTTTCGAGGACTCCATGGAGTATTAGGAGATAACTATTTCGTAGCCGATACACCACTCTGTTGGCCTCAATTTTTCCTAACTGGCCGGAGACGAATTTCTGGGTTAATTAATGCTGTTTTATATTCTATCTTTTCATTTGTTTCACTTAACCTGTAACTAACCATAAAACGTGGTTTAACTATGTATGTGCAGTAGGTACATGTACAGAGATACTTTCAAACAGATGGATTATCCGTCTATCCATTGGGCCTTTTATTAACTGTAACTGTAACTATAGGTATATATCGCTCTCCTATCGTCCGCCAGGTACCTCCGAAGCATCCATGGATATCAATATGAAGGTAAAGTCATTCAGCGGCGTTGGAACGTCCAGTCCAATGAAAAACCTCTCCTTTCAATGGAAATGGATGTTCCTTGGTTCCAGGTAACTCAATCTCCCGCTAACTCATTCTCCGGGTACTTATCGAGGCCCCTTTTAGTTAGGCACAGGCAGATAGACACATCGTTAAAGTTATCCATCACTCATAACTAAGGAAATCCACTCATTATCTAATAACTCCCAAGGTAACAAGGTCCACGAACAGACAGCAGCTAGTCAACCACCCGGAGTTATTTAACTACTCTCGTCGCCCAATGATAACACAACATGCCTTGTGGCGCTGATTTGTTCCGCATCCGAAATCCTCAGTTTTCCTTTGATTGCGTAGATTCGCGGGGCAGAGAGAACATTGAGAGGCCATGCCACTGAGTGAGTATTTATCTAAGGGATTACCATACAGACGTACTCATTTAACTACTGTGAAAATCCCTTCCCCTAGTGCATTATCATTTGCTTGCTATGTTCCTCTCTCTTTTTAAAACCATCATCCACTGCACCACCAGCTAAGAAACTTATTTTCAGACAGTCTTAATACGGAGTACTACGTGAATAATCTCCTTATTTTAGTCGTCTTCAATTGTTTAGACATTGAGGGATATATATTCGTGCCACCGTATCATCAGCTTGCAGCTTTTCATCTCACTGCAATTTCAAGGCGATCGATCTATTTGATTTCAACACAGCTTTCAATACCATCCATCCATCACCCATAGTTCCCTTCCACTAGTTATGCCTCTACTATCCGAGAACGGCGTGCCAGCAAAGGTGCTAGTCCCAGAGAACCTATCACCTGATGGCCTAGCTTTGCTCAGAACTACACTGGATGTACACGAGAAAAGAGGTCTCAGTCCAGAAGAGCTGCTGAGAATCATCCCGGATTACCAAGCATTGCTTATTCGTTCAGAGACCAAAGTCACTGCCGAGGTCTTGCGGGCTGGGAAGAATCTGAAGGTTGTTGCGAGGGCGGGAGTTGGTGTTGATAACGTTGGTGAGAATGCTTTAGTGTTTTTCTTTTCTGCTGTCCCCCTTGCATCTCTATATGTCTTTAACATGCTTCATCATTTGTGTGTGTTATTGTTGTTGTTACTTTAATTATCTCCATGATTTCGGGCCAGGGAATATAATCTTTGCCTATTGGAGTTTTGAAATGTTGACTAACAAGCAGTCTTCTTCAAACAGATGTCCCTACTGCAACCAAGCTTGGGATTGTAGTTATAAATTCCCCTTCAGGGAATGTCGGCGCTGCCGCAGAACATACCATAGCACTCATGTTATCAATGGCCAGAAACATCTCTGAAGGCTGTTCAACCCTCAAAGCTGGTAAATGGGAAAGGAGTCGGTTAGTGGGCATTGAAGTAAAAGGCAAAACTCTAGGAATCATTGGATTGGGAAAAGGTTCGTACCTTTCTGCTTGACTTTGAACCCGAAGCGGGAAAGGAACAACACACCCTCTCATACAGTATTCATTCCTGTAGTTGGTTTAATAGTTGCGCGGCTCGCCAAGGGGCTCGGTATGAAGGTTAACGCTGTGGACCCCTATGCTTCCCCAGCAGTTGCAGAATCCGCCTCTGTCAACCTTTTTCCTTCCCTCGCTGCTCTACTACCAACAGTGGACTTTCTCACGATCCATACACCCTTAATCGCATCTACGAAGGGCATGATATCTTCAGCAGAGATTTCACAGATGAAACGGGGTGCTCGTGTACTAAATGTAGCTCGTGGTGGGACTGTTGACGAAGTCGCCCTTCTTGAAGCTCTGGAATCAGGCCAGCTGGCTGCAGCAGCAGTCGATGTATTTACCTCTGAACCACCATTTGCTGACTCCAGCGCGTCAAGACTAATCGCCCACCCTCGTGTGGTGGCCACTCCGCATCTTGGTGCTTCTACCGTTGAAGCACAGGAGAATGTCTCCATTGATGTTTGCGAGCAAGTGCTTCAGATATTAGGCGGTGCTCTTCCCCGAAGCGCTGTAAATGCCCCGCTGATTTTACCAGAGGAGTATAAGAAGCTCCAACCGTTTGTGCATCTCGTTGAGAAGATGGGAAGCTTGTATACGCAGCATTATACCTCGTCCTCCACATACACAGCAAACAGTACTGCGTTTGACCTGATCTATGAAGGTGAGATTTCGGGAATTAACAATACAAAACCACTCTTCGCTGCCTTGGTTAAGGGCCTCATTGCGCCGATCAGCAATACCGCAGGTGTAAACGTGAATATAGTCAACGCAGAGCTCATTGCAAGAGAACGTGGCATTGTCGTCAACGAGCAATTTTCCCGAGACCAGGCATCACACTCATATTCTTCTCTCATCACACTGGTCGCTCGCCCGCCTTCCCGCCCATCCTTCCGTCCCCCACCAGGCGAGGCAATTTCCGTTTCCTCCGCAAAACTGGTCCCCGAACAACAAATAATTTCTGGGACATGCTCGCAGTCTCAACCCCTAATATCTCGGCTCGGTCGATTTACTACCTCCTTTGCTCCTGAAGGGACGTTGCTAATTTGTCACAATTATGACTCTCCTGGGAAAATTGGAGTTGTCGGAAGTATATTGGGGAAGGGAGGTGTCAACATCAACTTTATGGGCGTGGCCCCTGTTTCCAAGAGCTTGCTAGTGGGTCAGAAGATCAAAGGTCTTGGCGAGGTCAAAGCCGGCCTTGACGAAACAGGGTGTTATGAACCTGAAAAGGAGGCATTGATGATCCTGGGTGTAGATAGGACTGTGGAAGATAATGTAGTTAAGGCTCTTGTGGAAGAAGGGGGGGCATTGAGTGTAAGTGTGCTCTCACTGTAGCTAAACATTTGCACTCCTTTCTTTTCCAGATACCGTCGTTCGCTTCAACAAGCTACGTTTCGACATGATTGAATGATTCTCCAACAAGTCATTCATATATTTCCCCCTAGGGCTTCGGGATTTTCATTTTCAACGGGTTCATTCCATTGTGCAAAAGAAACATAGATGGAATTTTGTCATGTTTAGTGAAACTTGCGAAACATACAATGACAAACCCCATAAGGTAAACACTTAGCCCGGAGTTCTGTCTTGCGTCTTGTGCTCAATTCCATTATATACAAATTTAAACCAACCGGATGGTTGGTTAAGGGGGATAATAATATCTGGCCTCCAAAAGCTAAGCAGAAACTAGATCAGGTAAATTTTGCTAGGAAGCCTAATCCGATTTGAGAACAGCGGCTAAAGGTGGGCGGTAAGATTGGGACGTTCAGGAGTCGAAGTAGACACCTGGGCAGTGCTGCTTTCCTGGCATTTCAAGCAGGCATCTGCGGATGGGCTATGGAGGTTCCATAAAGGTAGTGTATTTCAGAATTAAATGGTAACTAATCACAACTTGGACACCAAAAAATTAATAACTCAACGCGCCTGTATATCCTGTAAATAGATTCATACGCATACAGTCGTAAATAGTAATTGGTCAATCATTGACAGTGCAACAGAGCTATGTCGACCTGTTGAATGCCCAATCTAGGCATCAGCTAAGCTGTACCATAGAAACACGAAAACAGAATATCATCCGCCAATGGTTGCCAGAATAAGCAGTCACTTCAAATAAGTCGATAGATACCTCTGCTGCTAGACTACGTCATATTGGGGAAGATGTCTCATCGTAGATGACTGCCTCCGAAAATGTCTGGCACCTTGCTGGCTCCTCCCGCAAAGCTACCGTTACTTGGAGTAAGGGCAACCGATCTTCTAAAGGCTTGTCCGGGGGTAGATGGAGCACTGCCGTTCATACTTCCACCGGAACTCAGGGTTCCAGCAACTATTCCTAAATCTGGGGTATTGCGGCCGCTGACAGGGAGATGTGAGTTGGCAGTCCCTGATAACGCAAGAGAATTAGAAAAATTCCGCGGAGGAGGTTTGAAGCCCAGTTTAAAGCCTTCGCGGAATATCTCTTCCAGCATTTGCGAGACAATGCCCGCATCTTCATATTCTTGGAATTTCTTCCAAAGACGTAGGGCCATGCGAGCATCTTCGATAGAATCATGACCTTCAGAAGCAGCTTGAGCGGGGTCGGTAGAGGTGGCATAAGTCGTGGATATGGTCGATTCCTCCTGGATGTATTCTTTAAAAACAGCCCAAGCAAGGTAGCGAAGACTGAGGCGACGGTTTTTCGATGGATGGAAAAAGAGGTACTGTGTATCCACAGATTGTGATTTGGGGACCTGGATATTAATCTTTCGGAAATCCGAAGCCAGACCATGCCCAACGAAGACACAACCCAAATTTAGAAGAAGCCATAACTTCTTATAAGCCACTTTTAAAGGAACAAGGTTATGAGAGCTGGTTCGGGGATCTAAGTCGCCAGGCTTGATCCCTGAATATTGTGTAACATAATCAACGATCGGGTCCTTGATGGTAATATAATCATCGATGAAAGGGACTCCTTCGGCAGCGCCAGAGCCGCGGATGACAGAAACTCGCGCAAGTCCACTTTTACTCGGCCGAACCATTTCCTGTGTACCGTCTGCCTTGACCTCAATTTCTGCCTTTTCCAGGTCAACAAACTCGGTATCCAAAGCGACAGGGGTTCGCGCAGACGGCTTTTCGTCTGCCTGGAGAATTTGACATGCCTCAGTTAGGCGATAATTGCTGCGGACTAGTTAGAGTAAAAATAATCCGATGGTGGGTAGGAGAGAAGTATGGTGCGGGTTTGGGAGGAAAAGGAACAGAAAAAAAATAAAAATATCAGAGAAAACGCACTTCATGGACCACTCATAAAATAGGAGAGTGGTATCAAGTTCGTCTTTCCAGGAATCGTCCACGCCATGCCGAGCAGTTTGCACCTGATAAGCCAAACTACAGGGTGTTTTCCAAGTCTGAGCAAATGCAAACACCTCATCTCGACTAACCTCTGTAACCAGAAAATCGTTAAAAAGATGCCAACGATCCATTTCGCTCGTATCACGTGAGGAAATGGCGACGTTGATGAAAGAAACCAAATGTGGCTTGTGATGGTCGGGGATATCAATTTCCGCAACTAGTCCTACCAGCTCATAGACCGTAAAGTTAGGAATGTCATTTCTTTGGCGTGCTTTTAGCTCTTCGCCTTCGAAACATTGAATACGACCATCTTCAAGGAGGATCCCAACCTCTTCTGGTAGCCATCCAGGCGTACCCCACAATTGGCGGATGTTGGCGTTATTGATGGCAGCATTTATCATCAACACAAGCGGCATCCTATGCACTGTTTTACGTATCGATACTTGCTGGTACCGTCGGCAGTGGCTGCACCAGCCTCGATTTTGTGTTTCACGTTCGATTGTAGACTTGAGGATACTCGAAAATCGATAAGAGGAACTGCGCCGCGACTGCTTAAGATCGATTGTAGGATAGATTAGTTCATTTACAAATGCATTACCAGGTCGTATGGTCTCATTGCGACAAAGCATGCAGCGAATTGATTCAACTGCATCTGTTGATAGTGTATGGTCTAGCTGGTCGGAATGTGGGAACATCAATCGAAAATCGTGGGAGATCTGATTCAAAAAAAATCGATTGACAGACTGAATAGATAACGAAAGAGATTTGGCGGTCAGATTTTCTTCAAGAAGGCCGAGGTTTGCTGCTTCTCGAAAACCGCTAAAGGTTTTTAACAGGTTTGTTGCTTGGCAGTTTTGCCCATTTGCTTTATCTAGCATATCGAATAAAAACCCCATTTCGCAGAGTAAACAATTGTCATATATGCAGTTCGTTGCTGCATGGTGGAGAGCCAGATTCCGGATCAAGGGAACGAATTTGTATAGTTGGAGAAGGGAGTTTGTGAAAGAGTTGGCTATATGTGTTTCCAACCCTGAAAATACAGTTTTATTGTAGTACCTGGATTATAAAATTAGTATTCATTCGGAAGTTATATGTTTGTTCGAAGGGAACCGACCTAAAATCAAAATCGTCGACGCCAAATTTGCTATATTTGATCTCGACATTACTATATTTCAAAAGTGGATCTTCTTCTGCGTCTTGAGTAATAGTTGCTTCTGCCAGATTCTTTGCAGCTTCGTCCAAGTTACTGTTAAACTTGGCTTTAGCTTGCGCCCTTGCTCGCTCGCTCAAGAACTTCGGAGCGGCCAATGCAGGTTCGGGGATCGGCTGTGCACGTGTATTTTCAACTTGATACCTCCGTGTCTTACGTGGATTGGGGGCATAGTGTCCAATTTCGCCGGCATGGAGGTATGGAGTAATAGCCTGATCAACTTGTGGAGGGATGCTTCCAATCTCGAAAACCATATGACTGGGCCAAGCAGAAAGGAGCCGTTCATGGTAATATGGCATCCCGATTACATTAAGAGGAGTATCGTTCAACCAATCCACTAAAGGAGGACGTGAAGGAACATCTGCAAATTCGGATTCTTTGCTCATTTCGTTAAAGTGGATCTTGGAGGGAGAACCCCAGAGGTGCACTAAACATTCCGCATCGTTGACAGCGAGAGCCTCCCCAGAAGGGGAGATTTCAAGGCCAAGCATAAATGTTACATTTGCCTGTCGTAAATTAATTGCGTTGGGATTCATCAGATCAACTACTTGGAGCTGGCCGGTTTGTGAGGCTACAAAGCTTGTTGTCTGTAATTTTGGGTGCATTCGGACATAGGCGGCTCCGGCGTGGAAAGGGATTGGAGGTAAAGGGGTTAAGGTCTTCAGATCATAAACGTTCGCCAAAGGGTCGACAATCGGTGAGCCGAGATGCCGTACAGAAAAGCCGCAAGTAACAAGGTAGTCGTTCCGAGCATCCATATCATTAACAACAGTGCCATGCGCCTTCCAGCTTTTCACTACGCTAAAATCGGACAAACTTAGAGCATTGACAGAGCCAGTATCTGTCGCAGCGCACAAGTAACGGCTTTTCTTCATTATAGTATAGCGGAATTCCGTCGTAATTTTGTCCACGATGGTTCCTTTGTCAACGTCAATGTGAAACATTATTGGCTGGCAACCAGCAACGATTATTTTTGAAGACTGCTGGGTGAAACTCATGCAGCGGAGATCTTCCATTTCTTCGTGAGTAATATGCCATATTGTCAGGCCGCGCCGGGAGATGAAATGCACACTTTTGGAAGAAACCGATATCACCCCTTTGTGGTGAAATAGAAGCTGACGGACTGGTCCCTCAGATGCGGGGTGGGCTCTAACGGACGTATATCTCTGGAGTTCAGGCCCATAGAAGGAGGCCACCCGTCCCTAATAACAAGAGGAAGTGGATATGTATTAGTAAATTTCTTATCCCACTTATGCACCACCAACCCCAAGCTGGAGAGGGTGGGGTGAGGGGTCAGCTCACGAATTCATTGCCCGTCCATAGCAATTCCTGGGTGTCATCGAAAGCAATGGTTGAGGCGACAGTCGGTAGGACATGGGGACCAGAAGGAGGAACAGCTAGCCGGGAAACTTCATCCCAATCAGGATCCATGAAGGCTCCTTGCCTGCCGGTGATCAGGCAATGCTGGTGTGATATTAGAGGTAAAGTCAGTGAATCTCTTGCCGTCAGGTCAGGTTCGCGATTTTACCACTCAACAGTACCCATAGGGAATTAGGCCCAAGGAGAAGCATCATTGTGAGGAAACAGTAAGGAAATATGGTATTAGATGATTCAAAAGGGTTTCTCTCACCGACCAGAGGAGTAGGTGGCAAAGATGACGAAGTAACCAATGAAGTTATGAATACCAGCAGCTAAATGCTCAGCTGGGTCCACAGAAGAATATGCGAATCAACAGTCTAGCGCCTTTCATGAGTAATATCCACAACTTAAAATGGAATAGTACTTCTGTAGTCTTTGTTTTACAGCCTAAACAAGCTGTTGCACTCCTTCAAGCTCAAGTCAGAAATTAACTAAAGCTCGAAATGTTGGAAGATTGGACCGAACAATTGAGGTCACGTGAGAATATTGGGTTTACAGAACGTATTGCCAAACTTTGTTGGATACGACAAGATAACTGGGCTCTTTGAGTGAGATTTATATTTACTTGTGGGGTAATTGGACTACGCAAAGGACTCTTATATGTCATTAAGCATGTGTCTGCATAAATCCGTCAATCTGAATCCGACCTACCACCCCATTCACTAGCCAATAGGTGGTTAAAACTAATCAGGAGCGCGGAGAGGAAAACGATGAAGTGCAGGAAACTGAGAAGTGTCGAGAGCAAAGGCATAAACAAGAAGAAACATATGATATATATGGAATAGGAGAGAGATGAATTGAAACACGAACGGCCAAGATGTTTAGTGAAGCACACAATGGTCGGAGTTGTTTAATCCTCAAAAGCCGCCCACATAATAACCATAGTGATTGGTAAGGCACTCCTTTGACAAAGAGAATGTCATTCTAGTTAGTTTTAGGGGGGGGGGGGGGGGGGGGAAGAGGGCCGCGCCAGAATGATTTTGGACCGCGCGTTGTCACAATGTAATGTATAATAAAAACACAAATAATTAAAAAAAACCTATGTCCTGGCCGTCAATATCCAACTATGTCTGTAAGCCCGGTAGTGGATCTATACACTTCCGATCATCTTCCTATTTCTTTGGCGATAAATCCAATGCTTTCAACGCCAAAGGATCCTATTTACCGGTAAAAAGAACTTGGGTTGGTGTTTGGTGAGCTTGGATGATTCACGCCAGGCAACTGATAGGTTTGGTACCCACCACTAGTTTGCCCTGGTCTCGCCCCAGCAGAAAATCTGGGGTACGGAAGTTGAACTGGGCTGCTAGATGGCATAGGAGGAGGCGCTTGAGCAGGTTGGCTAGGAGAGTTCTGGGAAACTTGATGCTGTTGCTGAACGAGTTGTGGGGGCTGTGACTGAGTGGGATAGGGCGGATTTACAGATTGTGGTTGGGCTAGTAGTTGTGGGATTTCATCGGCGGAGTAATTTGGGGAGGCAAAGTCATTTGATTGTTGTAATTGCGGCTGCTGCTGCTGCGCGACGGACGATCGAGCCTGATGCACAGGTAGGTGGTAAGAGTGCCGGATATTTGGTGGTGCGTTCTCTTGAGGGGAATCGTATACTGATGTACCAAGCTCCTGAGGGTGGTCAGGGGGATTCTGGGGGCGGTGGTGAACGAGGCCATTTGTTCCGTAGGAGTCGGGTGGTACTTGTTGTTGATGTTGTTTTACCGGGTGCGTGCCAGTGGGTGTTCGTTGTCGAGGGTCGGGCGTCTGGGTGTTAGTTGGGTAAGGTAGTTGGGATTGTTCGGACCCGTAGAACGGGACTTGACTGGGCTGAATAGGTTTTGAAGTGTCTACGTTTTAGCCGTCAGTGTTCCTGTGCCTGAGAAGTTTCTGTGTCAGAAATGACACCCAAGGGACAAAACACAGGCGCACCTTGAGGGTGGGGGGTATAGTAACGCTGAGGGTCTTGTGGTGGAGCTCCGTGGGGATATGCCTGGAGACCACTTTGCACTGGATAGCCGTATATGGTCTGGTGAGGACGTCCGTAATGCGGCTGAGCCGGATGAGCCATCGATGCCTCAAGCAAGGACTCGTAGTCCCTACGAGCTTTGATGAACTTTTCATTCAGTTGCGTGAAGTCATCTTCGAAGAAGTCAGAAAAACTAGTTGACAAAGTGACACACAAATGCAAACACATACCCTTCTTTTGTGAGTATTTACCAATCAGCTCAATGAGTTTTGGCCGTATAGCAAGGGTTGAATGGTAAAGGGTTGTGATTTCCTCATTCTCCTGGACATTGAGCTCTGAGTTGCTGGTGCTCAAAAGTGTTAGAAGCTTCTCCACATTTTTAATCTCTGCGAACACTTCAGCTTCCATTTGCGCTTCTCTTTGGAGTTCCTCTTGTGTTGGGTCTGAAAGTTTTTCAACATAGTTTAGGGGAAAAATGCCGGTCTGGCCGCGCAAAGATCCCTTCCACCAGTCCTTGTAAACAGATTCGAGGACTGCAATAACATCACCCCTGCGGAACTGGAGTTCTCCGGGTTCGGAGGGCTGAAAGTCATACAAAGCTCTAACGCGAGATACAGTCGCCGCCGTCGTTCCAGATGGGACATGCTGGGAGGGCGCAGGCTGGGGTTTGTTGGTTTCGCTGGCAGAAGGTTGGGTGGCTGTTTTGTTTTGGGCAGTGGGAGAAGAAGGTTTATCTTTAATGGACAGTGCGAGTGCCATTTGAAGTTCCTCTTCCTCCTTCTGTCTATCAAGCTCGGTGATTTGTCGCTTTGTTGGCTTGGACGGCGGTTGGAGATTCGGGTCTGTTCCAGCAAACGGTCAGCCACGAATCCAACATTAACACTCCCCACAACACCATTCAGCCTGTCACTCACTCTGCGACTTGAGTTTCATATATGCTTGCTCCATAATTCCGAAGTCAGAATTGCTCGAAAACATCTCTGTCCACTCTTCCATTCTTTCTAGAATCTTCGCCTTCACTTGTTGGTGGGTATTCTTTGAAGAACCGGATTAGCATGGTGGAAGGGAAGAGTGTGTGGGCCATGTGCGTACGCCAAATCAACGCAAGCATCAGTTGACATACCCGATCATTTGCAAGTCGTAGTAGGGCATCCGTAAAGCTTCTCGACGCCAACTCACGGTGCATTTTAACGCCGCAATTTTGCGAAAGCGCATTGGCAAGCTGATTCTGTTAGCAACAAAGGAACCACAACCATAACATAGAGGTAAGCCCAAAAAAGAAAGAAATAAGCATACTTCAAGGGTATAAAGTTGCACATTGGCATTCCGGTGGGCAAGTCTTTTTATCATTGCAGCCACAGCATCTTTCGCTCTGGGAACTCGGACAAACGAAGTCAGCTCATTACTTCCACTTATTGTATCTGTGGTTTTACACAAAGATTCCAAGCCCATACCCGGTATCCTCGCTGCCGACCTTGTCGCAAACATCCTTTACACCATTGTTTATTAGCATATTAAGTGGTAAGGAGAACTTGATTCAATTTTCCGAATGCTTAGCATACAAGAATGAATTCCCAGTTTTCCGAAGTCAAGTTCTCGTCCGTCGCCTTGGCTAAGGGAAGTTAATTCAGGATTCGTCGTCAAGATATCCACAGAGGTAAACGGCAATTGGGGATTCAACTCACCAACGGCATCGTCGAAGGCGTTTTGTTGCGTGCGGAACATGATAAACAATAACCCCTTTGAGGTGGCAAGAAGGGGGAGAGCACAAGATATTGATTGTGTCAAATGATGATATACACGTATTCGAGTCGCCCGGGCGGATGAGAATGAGTGTATATGGTGGATGGACTAATGATTTGTCCTGTAAAAGAAATAAAATACGACAAGACTGAACCGCCAGGTTCTTCCGGCCCACTTAAGAGTCGCAGCAGTCAAAAGCCACGAGGGGTCATCAGTCAGGGGTGGTGGATGGTTGACAGCGACGTTCTGAGTGTGGGTATGAGAAGTGTTAGAAATGCGACTTGTAGAACTAGTTAGATAGTGGATGTGAATCAGTGCTGATGATGATTGGAAAAGAGTAATTGATGATCGAGTGGAATTTTAGTTAATGCAACCATAAGATAATTAACTAACTAATTACTTAACATCAATTAACTAACGTAATCCACACCCGAGCGAACCACACCTATGAGTGAACCATCAAATCCAAAAAAGCTTCAACTTTCTAACCCACCCACTTCAATGTGTGAGAATGCCACCAATTCGCAATAAAAATGTCAGAAACTCTGTAGAAATAGGGGGAAGAATTGAACTCACAATAAAAGCTTTAAAAAAATAATGAAAATACCTCAATTCATAAAGCTGCATGTCTTCATGAGGTCTCATATACTACTCTATATTATAGATTTAACAGCTGACTTGTATATGTAAATCTACATACAAATTCAATCAAATTAACTGAGTCTAAAAAGAATCAACTAGTTCAGTGAATTCTAGATCTGGTAAAACAAGGAATACCTCTCTGATATTTGTTGAGAATATGATTAATCATCTTCTTAAACTTCAACATTCAATCTTTGTCTCAATCTCTGCTCTCTGAATTAGTAAGAACTGAATCTACAAACTGATTAAATATTGTACAGAGCTTCATTGTCACTATTTCAGACACTATAATCATGAGTGAGCTAAATGTGAGAATTTAAGAATTATTCAGACTTGATTTAAAATCTTAAAGAATACAATTACTGAGCATAAAATTCTGTTTTAATATATATATAACTTTGATGAGACTAAGTTTGCAATAAGACTCTGTATTATTACTATGATTATTACTAGTAATGCAATCGGACACCTGTTTGTACAGGACATCTGTTTGTACACTTTTTCGCTACATAACACATCTATCAATTTGATTGTCAAAATGTCAACAACAAAAAACAATCAAGCTTCCTATCAAGAAGGAAGAATTCAATTAGCCATTCAGGCATTGAAGACATCAAATTTTAAGTGTCTGAGTTACTGTATGTGCATATCAGATTTCTTACACCAGCTTAGT